GATATGAGAGTATGAATACAGGGGATGGGATAGAAGAGGCCTACCGTCTAGCACCCCCAGAATTTCAGGACAAGGCCAGAAAAGATCACCCTCTGAAATAAAAGACAGCAAATACAGTATTTAATACATTACAACAGCCATCCCAGAAAGCAATTCCAGTTTTTAAAAAAAGTACTGATGGAAAGTAAACACAGAATGATGTTAATCTAGATGAGAATATAGCTTAGAATTCTGAAACTTAAGAGGTAAAGCACCCATTGAAATGCAGGGAGAAAAAAAGGATGACTCCAATTTACTGACCTGCTGGGCTGTGGCATCTTTGGTATTATCTGCTCCCTCTAAGTAACTATGTCAACATTCTGGCATTCTTTTTATTATTTTTTAAAGATTTTATTTATTTATGCACATAAGAGCCAGAGGTGCCAGGTGTGAGAAGATTCACCAGAGACAGAGCGGGGAGCAGAACAGGCAGGTGAACTGAAATACACTGCTGAGGAGCAGTGGACAGGATAGGAGAGGTCTGCTGCGCCCTGTGGGTCACTCCCTGGCTGAGGATTGAACTCCGGCTGCAGGGGCTGCCAATAGCTTCATAGAGCTGATACCTGAGCCCTTGAGCCACCAGGGAGACCCTATGCTGACGTTCTTGAGTTTGTTTACTATGGATTTGTTCTGTAAAGTCTGATCATCTCTAACAGAACTATGGAGATTCTAGAATTTATCTGAATGTACTTTTACACCTTCCAATACAAGAAACATATTCTGTAATCCAGCAATGTAATATCATCCTGCAACGTTCTTACTTGCCATCTTTTAAATGCAGTGGGTGTGTGGTGACCGCCGTGGAAGGCCAGGATGCACTGGGTCTGGAAGATGTAAGGAGCTTTGGCTCTAAGCAAGCACTAGTAAGTTCCTGAAGAAGAAAGGAAGCTATCGATACTGCACATTCAAACGTTGCACCTGGCCTCATGTCTGGTACGAATTGGAGAAAAACAGCGGATGAGGAAAACAGAATATCCAGTGCAGCTGAAACCCAGGGCCAGGATGAGGGTGTCAGTGAGCTCAATCAACAAAGGCAGAAGGACCAGACTAGTCTCTGTTACACAAAAATAACGAGTGAACACAGCTACTAGGATAATGTAAACGAAGTACGTGAACACTGGCATGATTTTCAAGCTGGTTGATAATAAAAAATGGATCAGGACTTCCTTGGTGCTAAACTTGCTGGCGGTTAAGTGAGCCAGTAGCTGGAAGTGGCCTAGTAATAGTAAGTAAATAAAAGTAATGAGTGAAAAGTAATAAGAGCATCCATCATTTGAAGCCAACGCTGACAACTTTTAGGCTAAACTTCTATCGTGCGTGTTCACTTCTCTGACATGTAACCACGTCAGCTCATTTCATAATTCAGTCTGGTCATTTTTATCAAAATCCTTAAGTTTTGCTTTGATTTTGTGAAGTAACACTGCATTCTACATGCTGGATTTATCAGGTGGATTTTGCTCGCAGTCCAGGAGCGAGCTCAGTTTGCCTAGACTGGACCTAACATCGTTTCCTTTAATTTTGAAGACATAAGATAGACAATGCCTCTCTCCAGGAACAAACTAGATAGACACAGGAAATCAAGAAAACAAAGCATACATATCTAAAATAGAAAGGTTTGAAAAGAACACAATCTACATTGGGATGACAATGTGTACCCCAGCGTGTTAAGATATCAAAATATCTGCCAAAAGGTAACTCAAGAGTGGCCATAGATAGAAAAAAGGGATGCAGGAGGGCCTAACAGGAGTGTAAGGCTGGTCTTTGTCAAGAGGGGTTATGCTTACACTCCAGACAGCAATGGAAGGTGTCCTTGCACTGCAGAAGGCAGCTGGCGCTAGCCAGGACGGAGGGTGAAAGACACCAGGATATGTCACCCAAAATACGTCTCTTTGATGCAAAAATTGTCTTGTGCTGAAGGCAATTAAGAAGTATTAAATGAGGGAGACATTGTCTCTATCCCTTCCTTTTCTTCCTCAAGGCAGGAGAAACTGTCCTTTAACTAGAGACATACTTAGAGCCCAGAGAGGAATAGAAGAAAACTTCGCCATCTTAGGGCAGAGGTCCAGTGTGGCTCTCCTCTAGGAATCCAAAAAAAATGGGACCATGCAAAGCTGGGTCACTGTGAAACGGCCACCTGTTCCTGTAGAGGGAAGTAGGGAACAAGTACATGCCACAGAATGGGAACTGAAGAAATCTGTTTATCTGAATTTTGCACTGAGACAAAAAAAAAAAGTCCTCTAGGAACTCATAATCATAAACTAGTATAATGATGCTACCAGTGCAGTCTAAAAACATCCTCGATTAGAGAATAGAGGTAAAAATGGTCCCAGTGTGCAGGAAACAGGTGAAAGTCAATGCTAATCTTCTCTGAAGATTCTCAGAGATTCTTAAATTCAATCCAAGTCTCAAAGCCTTGTCAAGAAAAAGGCTCAGTTAAACAGATCACAGTTTTAAAAAGTAAACAAATTCCGTACATAAAAAAATTAAAACAAATAAAATACTAACAAAAAATAAAAAATAAATAAGTAAACATACAAGGAAATACGATGCCACAAAGTGAGATCCAGAACCCAGATAGTAGAATCAGATACAAACCTCAGTTGTCAAATCAAATTTAGAGAATAAAAAGGTTTTAAGATTTTTTTTAAAAAAACGAGAGCATGAAAATAGGAGTAAGGAACAAGAGAGTTCTATTAAACAGATCGAAAATAACTAAATATTTCTGAAATGATAAACATTTTTAACTCAAATTCACTGGAAAATTGAAAAAGAAAGCCAACTACACACAGCTGAAAAGAGAATCAGCATCCTAGAAAGCATATCCATTATTAGCTTTTAACTGCCTGGTCAGGTCCCTAGAGCAATGTGCCAATCTTCTCACCAGAAACAGAAAGAACACGAACATGTCTGTCACTGGAAACAGCCCTCACCCTGGGGACTGACCCCTGCAAACACACAGGATCCACCAGTAATAAAAGCCGCCAGCTACTGACTGAGTCGCACAGGGTATGTGAATCACAGACATCTTCTATGTTCACAGTGACCTCTGGAGCGGGTACAAATGTGGAAAGGCAAAGTGGCACTAGTCCAGCAGCAGCTGAGAGCCCCACCCAGGGTTGCAAACCCAAAGAAGGCGAGATGTGGACCCGACACTGCCGGCTCCTAACCGCGCCCATACACCGAGAAAGGTCAACAGGAATCTATCGTCCTCTGTGTTCAACTCTTGCCGGGGCAGCCTCACAGTCTCTCAGCCTCAGACTCTCTCCTCGAGGATGCTACTCAACGGATTGGAGAGAATCTGTGCTCTCTTTAAGGTGCTCAGGGTGGAGTCCAGCCTCCCAGGCAACACTCACTGTAATAGTCTTGAGTAGTCTATACTAACTAGACAATGTAACTAGAGGCTGCATAATGTCATCTTAACACTGTTTTCACTTCTTTGATTTTTTTTTTAAAGATTTATTTATTTATTCATACAGAACTGGGGTACAGGCCAGAGATGCGGAGGGTGAGAGGATTCACCAGAGATAGAGCGGGAAGCAGAACAGGCAGCTCCATGAAGTACACTGCTGAGGGGAGCAGCGGGCGGGTCAGGAGAGGTCTGCCACGCCATGTGGTCACCTCCGGGGCAGGTGGGGATTGAACTCATGAGGAAGTGGCTTTAGTTTCTCAGTGCAGTGCTTTAACCCGCTGCGCCACCAGGGAGGGCCTCACTTCTTTGATTTTTAAAGGTAAATGATGACTATGTGATTTTCTTTCAAAGGAAATAGTCAAGTAATTTAAATTATTTATTTAGCGCATAACTAAAGCCCTAAGAACAACTCCATTACTGTTTTGGACGATTGTTCAACAGAGCTCAGTCACTTTCCCAGTTCACTGTCCTGTCGGCATACACTCTCAGGCAGGTCTGACATCAAATACTCAAAACCTGTGCATTGCCTTTTAGGACAAGGAACAAGAAATTCCATGCAGTTTCTAGGAAAGTTTTTCAGAGTTCAGGCAGGCACACATCCACACAAACACACACACACATGATGGTTCCAAACAATGTGTTAGTGTTTATAATTTAAAACACAGCTGACATCCTAATTCTACATGCAAAGATGAGAAGATCTAAAAATAATCACTGTATTTTGAAGTGCTCTACAGATTACTACTCTGATTTGCCCCTTAGGTAAAGAAATAAAAAAGGAATAGACGGTGTTCAGGATCTATATAATGTCTTGAGAATCAAAGCAGTCCATTTTTCAGATGGAATTAGTGTGTCACAGACAGCCAGACAGAGACAGAGACAGAGAAGATGTGTAATTCTCTGTGGTTACCTACCAGTTTCACCGGCTGTTTTATTCTTTCCATGAGGCTTATAGAGAACGTAGGAGCATCCTTTTACATGGAAGTGATCATTAATTTGTCTAAACCACCTGAAAGAGAAGAAGAAGATCTGCTCATAGCCAAAGTTCTGTTTCTATGAGCTGCTCATTCTACCAGTAATAGAGAAACTGGGGCAGAGATCAGGCTTGACCTCTCAGAGGCTGGGGCCAGTGCCTGGAGAAGTGGTTCAGAGCCAACCTCTACAGCATTATCACTTTACCGACTAGAAATCAGGTATTACTTCTAAGCAAGGGCTTCGTACCTCATAAGTGTTGTATTTCCAGTGAAAGGGCCAAACCTAATATCTTCAAATGGGGGTTGAAAGCCCAAAATATGTAAAGCTTCTTCTTGGGTAATAGGTGGAAGACTACAAAAGAAACATTGCCTATCACTTCACAATGCCAATCACATGTAAATATAACCTTTCTCTACATTAATACATCGGTCTGACTTGAAAACAACATTAGTAATATATTTAATCTCTACTTTATCAAAAATAATACATGCATATAGTTTATATATATAAGCTAACAGGCTTATAACAAACGGTAGCTGTTTTATCTCAATTTATGAAAAATCTATTCTTAACAATCGTTCATTTAATCATCAAATGACTTTTGAATTTGTCGGGAGATGCTCATCAGTTGACATACTTACTTTCCAGCTCCCATTGTGCTATATAAGAAATTCCAACAAGAAATTAATGAGGAGATACCACAAGACGTCTTATACTGAGGCCGGCTTATGCAGTACCTAAGGAAACAAAAGACTTTCTTCATTTGAAAGGATACAGCATACACATAACAGAAACTCACAGCAACTAACATTGTCATGGCAATGAACACTGGAACGATTTAAACCAACGTAAAATCTTTATTCACCTTAAATATTTTATATGTATTAAACAGACTGTAAGTGCATAACAATAATAAATCATCCATTTAATAAAGATGGTTTTTATATTTCATCATGCTTGTTTACAGAGGTTGTTCACAGCAGGCTGACAGCTTGTGCAGGCATTCTGCCACCTTCTGTGAGTCTTCCTACTCTGCCCTTATCTTGTAATCTTGTCGGTGGGAAATAAGTCTGTTTTCCTGGTTACTTTTCCCCCAGCATCAATCAAGCCTTTATGGGCATATCTGCAATCACAATACACAGCAAAGTATCTGGCATTTATTCAATAAGGGTTAAAAACCCAATCTTTCTAAAACCTCACAGAAAAGCACTTTGAAGCCTTAAATTGGAGCATAGGATATTTATTCAGCTCCTAGTAGGGCCTCTAGAAAATATAAATAGAAGCTATCATGAATTTAGATAGAAACTGTGTTTTTCAAGGAGCCAGAGAGCCCTACTAGATAAGTGAGTGCTTAGTAGAAGAATGCCAGCTAACAAAGGCAGAAGAAGTGACATAATTTTGCAATATCCCCATGCTGTCACAAGGATTCAGGTAAAAATTGTCAATGGGTTTTGGGCTAAAACCTCCAGGTGACAAGCTGACAGGAAGCTGAGTGTTACTAGTGTCACTGTCATCCCCACTGAATGCAGCTGGTGACAGAGGGGAGAAATGTAACTTGACAATGTGGGGTAGGGCTGTCCCCACCTAAACCACAATCCTCCTAGAATCTCTGGTATCATAAGTCCAGACGCAAGGAGGCTCAGTGTGACGGACACAAGGTCACGTAGGCTGTCTTCCTGCCTACAGTGTTTAGCCTGCACCGAATCAAGTCTTTAAATTCTAGTTTGCAGGAACTTCCACATTTATGAATAATGGAGGTAACTAGTAGGGAAAAATAACAACTCAGACGCTTCCAGAAGGAGCTGGTAAGCCATCCTACAAGCTACCAGGTCTCACTTCTTCAACAAGCCAACCTACTAGACTTTGACAAGGAGACTGTTACATGGAGACAGTTCTAGGTTAGAGAGATGCAGGAGCCAGGAAAACACGACAGAGGTGTGTTCACAGCCTGGTTCCACTCTGAACAACCAGGTATGAAGACAATCTCAGAATAAGCTGGTCAATTTGACTTGAGTCAATGAATGAGATACTAGAGAAATACTGTTAATTTCCTGAGGTATGACAATGGCAGCAGATGATGGGGAAAGGCAAACAAGTCCCTTCTAGAGATTACCAGCGTCGAAGGTCTAGGACTTTCCGCTGCTTGATGTCATCGGCTGGAGAGCACTGTACCCAGTCCCTTGAGTGTCTTCCTTTTTTATCGGAAGTTTTTTTCTTAGAAGTTTGTTTCTTCACATTGCCTAGAATCAAAGGACATAAGAAAAATGAGTAACCTTGCATGACAGTGCAACTCATTCTGTAAAGAAATTAAAATGTAACTGCCATCGTTCTAAAAATATTTGCCTACATATTAAAGAAGTACTTGTAGCCCCGTGGACACTTCCCTACCTTTAAGAGAGAATAAAAAACATGTTTAAACATGTAACTTTCTTTCAGAATTTTATATTTCAATTCCTGAGCTGGTCACTTAGCTAGGAAAAGAATCCATCCCAAAATGCTGAGTGAACATCTAGAAAATCAAATTACCCAGAGTAAAATATTTAACTAGGCCACTTTCCAGAAAACGAATCCTTTCCGTAAGACAATAAAACCGCATTAACGTAACTCTGTTAAGAAAGTAAAAGCTCCATGCACTAGATCCAATAATGCAGTGATGTGATGTCTAAAAATATCTCCAGGCCTACAGAGACCACAAAATGAATTAAGAATGAGGCAACCATGTGCATTATTAAAATGAGATTTCAGCACCAGAACTACAATGGTGTACAAAGTCTCCTTCTGTGTACATGTATGCAGGACACACACACGCACACATAGTCTCCCTGAAAGCCACATCAGGTAAACAACAGTGGTGATCTACGGATGAGGTGGAACTAGGAACTAGACAAGGAGAGACACAAGTGAATTATCGTTTACACTGTTTCACCTTTATCCTTTTTTATTTCTGAACCATAATAATGGATTCCCCCAACCAAAAATTAAATAAGCTAAAATATTAACTACAAAAATACTAAGTAATACCCAAGTCTCATTTTAACTAATATTTCAAGTAACTATGCTCTTTAAACATTTTGAAATCTTTCACACATCTTTTAAATGAAATACATCTAATATAAAAAATAAGTTAAAGCTAATACTGTATTCCTACAAGTTCTTGACAACTTTGAGTTATGATATATACCAAGAAAGAAAACACAAATTGCTTCTAAAACTTAAAACCAGCTGGAGTGCAGAAACAATCGTTATATAGGGAACTTCTCCAATTTTGTAAAAACATCATAATCGTAAACATTAAAAAATAAACAAGTTTTTTCCCCTTCCCTTTAGTTACTCTTTCTAGGTCTGCACAGAAAACACTTTTCTCAGAGTTGAGCAACCATTGGCTCTTGAGCAAAAATCTCATTCCAAAATTTTTTTTTCATTAATAAAATAAATCTTAGCGAGAAGAGGGAGATACAACACCAATTCTTGAACTGTTTCACTGCCCAGCAATACTTAATTCCCTGAGTAGTTTTCGTGGCCCCTGGAAGTGTGGGAATCTGTGGCTGCAGACCCACAGGGAGGAAGACATGGCATGGCCAGTAAGACTCCCCGCCTGCCTGTTGTGCTAATCCTCAAGAGTCTTGGAGAAAACGCACCTTCATGAGCCTCCTTCATGAAATCCCCCACACAGCCACACAGAGAGCTGATCTCAGGGGCAAGAGAAAGCATAAATGTGTGTGCACCAAATCTCAGCACTTCAAATTACATGAAAAAAAAAATGAACAGAAAAGAATGGAGAAAAGATAAATCCATCAGTTGGCTCTTCTTAACACTCCATTTTCAGCAATTGATAGAAAAAGACAAAAATTAAGTAGAGGCACAGATGGGAACAATATCTGAAATTCTGACCTAATGAATATTTATAGAACTATATGCCCAACATCCAGAAAAGCTCCTTCTTTGCAAGTGCACATAGTACGTTTATCAACCATAACTACATATTGTTGGTCATAAAACATGCTGGATCATAAAACATGTCTCAGTAAATTGAAAAAGACTGAGATCATTGGTCCTCTCTCCACAATAGAAATAAGTTAGAAATCAATATTTAGGGAAAAGAAACATTTATCTGGAAATTACATAATGTGGGGTAATAATAATGCACCTAAATAATACATGTATCAAAGAAGACATCATAAGAGAAATTACAACCTGTCAAACTGAATTAACTATATCAAAATAAAGTGTAGCAAAGTCAGCAAACTGTAGCTAAAACAATACTTCCAGAGCAATCTGAGCATTAAATGCGTCAAGTCTTGAATTAATGGGTGGCTGGTGTTTAGATATACATATGTTGTGTGTTTTTTAGGTTTTGGATTAAGGGCTGCACAGTTCTCCGAGGATAGGATATAAAGTGTCTCTCTTGTTTTCTCAGGTGGTTATTTTAAAAGGAGTTTTAAAATGTCAGTGATTATGGAGCTATTTTAATTCCATTCTGCCATACCTCTTACTAGCTATGTGATTTTGCAAAAGCAATGCATCCCCTTGAAGCCCCAACTCCTTCATGTATAAAATGAAGCTAAGAGCACCCAACCCATAAAATTTCCATATTACTTTGAGGTCAAACAAAGAAGTGGATGTGGTAACATACACCTGAAAAGGTGTGATCCCATACCTCTGAATCCTACATAGTATCATTAGGCAATATTACTTCAATTTTTAAGTTTAAAACTTATATTCATTTAAAAAAAAAAGTGGAAATCACTAGCAGAAGCCATCAGGAAAATTGTGCACCCACTTAAATTGTGCAGGGCACAACCCATTCAGTGGTACCTGGAAACTTACTGGGTGCTCAAAAATTTTAACAACCACCCCAAAAGTCACATTGTTATGCAATAGAAAATGAGATGTTTAATTGGGAAATACAGATTCATGAAACAGCAGTATGTAACGCTCGCTTCGCTCGCTACCTCATTAATGCTACCTCATTAATCATTTCTGCATCCACAGGGACATATCTGTAACACCTGTACTTTGCAGCGTCCCTTCTTACATTTTTTTCAACTCCCTCAAAAGGCAACACTATATTTGAGGCTCCCAGTGGTAACACTTTAACAAAGGAAGAATCCTCTGCCCTTTTTTTTTTTTTCCTTAACTACCATGTCAGACAAGACAGCATACATTACAAAAGAAAACGTGTTTCATAAAAAGTTTTAACAAGGTTGATTATTTTGCTCAGAATTTGCACCTGTGAGTGTCATGCTTCCTTCCTCACCTGATTTGTGTTTCAAGTTCGTGGACACGCCATCAAATTCAGATTTATCAATTTCCCACGCGAGAGGTAGCTTGCCCAGGCTATTGGATAAGTTTTCCAGGCTATTTTCTTCATTGTAGATGATTTCCGATGTACTGGCTGGGATGCCGATGTACCTCGATGAATTATTTCCAGCAGATAAAGAGGTATTATCAGGGAGGCAGGAAGAGTGGGTAGAATTGGGGGTTTTGTAGATTGAGGTGGCCTGGTTGAGGAAGGCATAGTCGGAGCAGATGGCGTAAATTTTCTCCCGAGTGTGGGTCACTGGGCAGCTCCATGGATAGTGACTATCTCCTTTGGGACCCAAGGGTGTTCCTGAGGCTCGAGAGCAGAAAGAAGGTAGAGCACTGGGCAGATGCTCTTCAGGGGACTTGCTCTCGGATCTGTGCTCATCATTTCCAGAATCACTTGCCCTTGCTGCTTCTGCAACGTTAGGCATTGAATGATCTAGAAAGTTCTCTTACAAGAAGAAGTCGCAACTCTTTCTATGACTTGAAAAACAACTGTGATGACTGTTGATAGTTTTCTATGGAAACCTGAGAGCTGCAAGAGGGGGTCCTAAGAAAAGAGGCAGGAGAAAGAGCCATCAGCAGTGCACACGACACCCCAAACTGCCCTAGAGTCACATCGTGTTTCCTGTGACTTTCATCACTCCTAGGTGCTGACTGCATGATTGCTGACCATCTGCCTTATCAAAATTATTTGAAGATAATGCATATGAGTAACAAAACAAGTAGTACAGTGAAAAATTGGGCAAGATAACTGCATCGTCACATCTGCAAAGGGGATCTCTATCGCTGTCTCTGAAATGGCCAACCTGTGCGTGGAAAGATGCTCAGTGCGGCTGGCATCTCAGAGACAGAGTGTAACAAGTATGCGGAAGAGGTGGCGAAATCCCCTGGACACCGCTGGTAGAAATGTCAAATGGCCCGGTCGTGTTGGAAACAGTTCCTCAAACATTTAAGTATACAATTACCACGTGATCCAGCAATTTCCATTCTTGGCAAATAGCCCAGAGAAATGTTCCTAGCAGCGCCGTGCATAACAGTCAGAAAGTGGATATGATCCAAATGCCCATCAACTGATGAGCTGATAAATAAGATGTATGCAGCCATACAAAGATATATTGGTGGGCAATAGAAACACAGGAAGTACTGGCCCAAGCTATGGCAGAGATGAGCCTTGAAAACAGTTTGCTAAGTGCAACAAGCCAGATACAAAGCAGAGCATAATTCTGTTCATGTGAAATGGCCAGAATAGAAAAATCCAGAGACATAAAGTAAAGGTCACCTCGGCTAGGGGACCTGAAGGGGGTGGGCTGGATTTTCTCCTTTGGAGTAATGAAAACAATCTATAATTAAAGGTGGTGGAGAATGACAACTTTGAGAACAGCAAAGGCCACGGAATGAGACACTTTAAATGGGTGAGTCCCATGGCATGTGAATGACGGCTCCACACCACTGTCTTTAAGAAATAATGCAGTAACTGATTATTTCAAAACCATGAAGGGACAGAGCATGCATGATGAATAATGTCCCAGCTTTAAATCAACAAAAAATACAGCACTTAATTTTTTTAAACTGCCAGCAATCGACATAAAACAGGATCCTATCCAGGCAGTCCCTGACCTCTGATCAGCCTGAAGAAAACCTGATTTTCAAGTCTGAACCAATTCCTTTGGGAGTGTCAGCATGGGGCATTCGAGGAAGATGAAAATGGACAAAAAAGAGGAAGGTAACCAACATGGGGGGGAGGGGTAGGAGGTCACTCCGCCAGGAGACAGGCAGGTGAGACCCATCCTAGGTGACCCCTTCCACTTTGACAGCTCTGGCCACTCACTTAAAATTAGAAATGGTGATATAACTTTTACAGGTTATGAGAAAGTGATTCTATAAAACCCATCATGTGAATACCCATCTATGTCATAGTCAAAAGGTAAGACGATGATTCCAGAAAGACCCAGGTTAGCTGAGCTGTGAGGAGAAGCTACAGGTAAGGCAAGTCCAGCAGGGAACGAGGGCCAGCGCCATACAAAGACCCAGGAAAGATTCCATTATCTTTATTTTAAGAAATGGCTTCTCGCTATTCAAATCAGGTGATCTGTAGTCACGGGAGCAGAGTCTGTGGTTATTTGCAGATGGGTGGAGTTGGGTAAGAGCTTCCCATCAAAAATAGACCCTCCCAAGGCCCTCCCCAGTGGTGCAGCGGGTTAAAGCACAGCACTAAGAAGCTAAAGCCATTGCAGTATGAGTTCGATCCCCGCCTGCCCCGGAGGTGACCACATGGCGTGGCAGACCTCTCCTGACCCTCCCGCTGCTCCCCTCAGCAGTGTTCTTCGTCGATCTGCCTGTTCTGCTCCCCACTCTCACCGCCCCTGCACCTCTGGCCTGTACCCCAGCTCTGTATGCATAAATAAATAAATCTTTAAAAAAAAGACCCTTCCATGGTTCTATTCCGGAAACTCTTTTTTTTTTTTTTTTTTGTCAAGAAAATGACTCAGGAGTGGTCGTGGCAATCTCTAGACAGGAATCCCTTGTGCTTTTTTTCCTTCTTCATTGTTTCCTGGTGCCATGGTGGTGGCAGAGGTGGGGGAGGGGCAGTGAGCCACACCCTGGAATTATATTGATGGGGGACACCCCCCCCAACCCCCGCAGACAACAAAATGTCCAGGCTGCTGCCCATGTTGGTCACACTGAGCTTTTGCTCTGCAGCAGTTTCCTTCACAAACTGAGTGGGAGTTTGCCTGCAGGGATGTTATGAAGGATGTTTATAGGAACATATACAGAAGACCCTATCGACACACAGGCAAAGGGGAATGGCTGCATTTGAAGACCAAAGTCAGGACCGTGTGCCCTGGAAGTGAGAGCCAAGACAGAAAGAACATACTTTTTGATTTACAAAAAGTATGACAGTCTGGCTTTGCAGGTTTGTTTAGTAACTATTTCACACTGTCCCTAAAACAGAAACATCTTTAAAGTTTTAGCAAAAACAAAAACAAAAGGTTATCACATAAGGGTGTATGGTCTATGAGTAACCCCCGAAGTCAAGGGTAGACTTCCAAGGGTATGAAAACATTCTCCTTGGGACCACTGTGGATGGAAATTCTCTGTGAAAAACTGTGTGATTGTTGTAGATTTTATGATATAAATAAACACACTGCAGGGGTCAACAGAAGAGCAAACGTTATTGCCAGATGGCTAAATCCCACCACCCAAACACTGCTAGCGTGAATGCCCTTTCCTGCGATGTCTGACCCTGTCTATTCTCAAGAGCTCCGTGAGGTCAGGGATGCCAATTTGTCCTCGTCCTTGCTGAAAAGTGCGTCAAGCACAACTTGTTACCGAAGACACACTCAGTAGGCATCGCAGACTGCAGAGGCTGTCACGCAGCCAGAGCTGCAGCCTGTCCCTCCACGAACCACCTGCAGCTCTCACGGGCTCGTCACAGCTTTGTCCCCATTTTGTGAGCCACTGCCAACTGCATCCCTCTCCAAGCTCCCCTCGCCCCCTCAACCAGGGGTCCCTGACCTATGCCTAGGGACGAGGAAATAGGCTTGGGCTGGTCAAGCCACTCCTCTTCCAGCCCATGAGCCTCTCTCCAGCTGCTCCTCCTCTGCTTGGCCTCCCAGCCTCTCCTCCTCCCTCTCTGACCATGTACCCGAAAGCTCTCTCCTCCCACTAGCTCTACTTGAGTCCCTTAAGCCTGTTAGCCAGGTATCAGCTCAAGTATCCCGGGCTCCTCAGGCCAGGACCTGTCACACCAGGATGCGTCTTGGGATGCTGAATGTCTACCTCCTGCAGTCTGGTTCCCCACATACTGCATCCCTAGCGACCCGCATCTGCAGAAGTCCCCTCTGCAAGTACTCCTTTTCAAGGCATCACTCCAAGTCCCAGCGTTGGTTCCAGGAGAGCTCCCCAGGGGTATCGGCGGGATCAGAACTGGAGGTTTACCTAGGGCTAAACCTGCATCCTCCCTCATTCTCAGCAGTGAGACCCCAGCTCCCTAAGGCAGATAAATGAGGCAGTGATGCTGTGTTTGGACTTCCCAATCAGCAACTGCAGGACCTACGGCCCCATGGAACGACTGAGTCTTAAAATCCTATCACAGTCAATGGAGGTGTTAATTGTGTGCAAAAATTTTATTAAATGGGCGGCTTTCGGCGCAGCACCAGCTCATCCATTTCTCAGCCTCCGGTTCAGTAAAATAAACTGTCCGTCTGTGAGGACAATAGCCATGGTCCAGGTCACATTCTTTGGGGGTTCGATTTAAAATTCTGCTTTCTAAGTGGCAAGTTGGCGTGGAAAACTAACCAGCTTTCAAATCCCTCCAGGACAGCCTTCCGCCTGTGACATTACTGTGATCCATATTCCATACTTCCAGAAGGTCACTGAGCCGCAGGGCGCCATAGTAAACGGGTACCAGGAGCCGGACTGGGGTGCTAACTCCCAGACCCACGGGGCTCGGTCCTCCCGCTCCCTGGGGCCCTCCCCACGCCCCCCACGCCCCTTCCTCCACCAGACCTGAGCTTGCGGGGGCTGAGGCCGCGGGTGCCGGGTGCCCGCGTCTGGCTCGGGCTCCCGGGCGGTGAGCGCAGCTCCCGGCGGAGCCGCCGGGCTCTGGGGGACACCCCCATGGATACTGGCTTTGCCC